ACATACATACATACATACATACATACCTGAATGACATGGCCATCAAGGTCAAGCAGAACCCCCGGCCCGCGGCCGGCCGGATTCAAGAGAGCCCATGCATCGGGGCCCGGGCCTGGCACGAACCTGCACTCGGGGGACAGACCTTCCACGAGCACCCGGCCCTGGACCAGGCCCCGGGCCGGCCTGGGCCCCGAACGACCGGCGCCATCGTGGCCGAAGTCAAAGGACAGGAGCAGACCCGCATGCAGAAAGACCAGCAGCCTTCCCTGATGCATCAGGTACTCACACCGCAGTCGGGGCGTCTCCGGGCCGACCACCCGCAATCCGCTCAGGAACTGGGACTTCCGGCCGGCCGGCCGGCCCACGCTGGCCGATGCCGCAGGGGTGACAAACGAAAGGAACGCCCCGTTATGGGACACCCCCAGCAGTTGCCTCTCCGACGACCGGACTAGCACCACCCCCGGAGCGGCCGAGCTCACGGCCAGTGTGACATGCTTGGCGTGGTGCCGGAGGAGGATCGCCCCGCTCGCCGGCCCCGGGCCCGGGCTCATGGCCACCTCGACCAGGGCGCGCTTCAGCACCAGGAGCCCTCGCTCCGGCGACGCCGACACCCCGGCGAAGGGCCACTCGGCCGGGTGCTCGGTCCACGGGTCGGCCTGCGACGGGCCCGCGGCGAGGGCGCGGCAGCGGCACGTGTCCACACGCGGCGCCAAGCACCCATGCAGGCCCATCACCAGAGTCCGAGCACCGCACCATGCAACCAGCAGCAGCGCACATATGTTGCACAGGATATCCACGGCGCACACACCATGCGCAGAATATACCCCCAGAATGAAGAGACATCATACACAGCGTATGCAGAAAATATCGTGCATAGCGTACACAACGTACACAACGTACACAACGTACACAGCGCACACAGTGCACATATAGCACACAGAGCACACAGCGCACACAATGCAAACACAGCGCACACACACGGACAGCCCCCAAATACCGAAGATCAGCGACACGTCGGCAGCAATGGCAAAATAGATATCCCACCCAGACACGCACATTCTCCCACACGCGCGACCAAATGACCCGGCCCCGGAGGACCAAGAACAGCGGCACCTCACGGGCGTCCAGCACCACCGCCAGGGCCCCGGTACGCACCACCTTCAGCGAGTGATGCGCCCGGCTGGTGACGGCCCGCACCAACGACATGCCGGCCTCGGGCCCGGGCCTGCCACCCGGCCCGTAGCAGGACACCCTCTGGCCGGCCCCGACAAACAGCAGCCCGTCAACCCGGACAACGCACTGGCCCAGGCCGGACGCCAGGCTGCCCCCGCCCGGGGGGCTTTCCCGCCAGACAAACCGCTCGCCCTGCGGCAGCCCGGTCGCCCGGCACGACCCGAAGGCCAGGATCACCCGGCCCGCCGACGCCATGTGCACGCCCTTCGGCACATCCAGCAGCAGGCCATGCACACCCACCAGCTTGGCCACCTCGGCCGGGCTCTGAAGCGGCCGGCGCAGCACCTTCCGCGCCTTCGCCCGGCCCATCGGTGCCGGCCGGCCGGGGACACCCGGCCGACCGGTGAGACCCGGCCGCCGGCGCCGGATCGGCCAGCGGAGCGCCAACAAAAGCTCCGCGCCAAACACCGCCGATGTCAAGGCCGCCCCGGCGCGCCACCGGGCCTGCTGCTGGGCCCTCGGCTGCGAGGTGACCCGGCCGGGGACCGGCGGCCGCCCACTCGCCGGCTTCGCAGCGCATGGCTCGTTGCCCGTCGCGGCCGGCAGAGGGTCCCACTCCTGGAACACCAGTGGCACCATCTTCCGCCGGCCAACCGTCGGCCGAGCCTGCCTCGACGGAGGCGTGACATTCACCGGCCCCGGCACCAGGCCTCGCGCCGACTCCGACACCGCCTCCGCGGCCTGCATGGCGTGGCTGCCCTCGTGAGGTTGCTTTGTGGGACACCCCCCCGGCGGTCCGGGCGGGAGCTTGTCCTCCGAGGCAGCCGCTGGCTGGCGGCCCGCCTTCGAGGCCTTCTTCGCGGCCGGATTCACGGGCAGCGCCGGCGCGCCTGCCTGCCCAGGGGGCCCAGCCGAGGGGTGAAGCTTGCCGGGCTTGGCCGGCGACGCGGTGCTTGG